TCCAGTCCATTTTGAGCCCTGGTTCAAATTGAGAGAATGATCAAAAATAGACATGTGCGCAATCTTGATGAGTTAAAAAAAGAAGTAGCTCTTGTTTGTCGAAATTTAAGTCATATTTACTGAGGAAATATTGCATAATGTATGGTACCAATATACAAATAAAACCAATGCAAAATAAGGGGTTTTATTTTAAGTTTCATAAAAAAAAAAAATTTCATGCATTTAATTGATGTTTAAACGTACAAGCCCAAAATCTAAATGTGTTAAATATAAAATTTGGGAGTGTCTTATATTTTTGACGATTACTGTATATAAATATATATATATATTATATGATACATATTATTAATTTAAATTTTAGATCTGAGTGGCATTCAATTTCTTAAACTGTTGTTTTTTTTTTGCACGAAGAAATAAAAGTTATGATGATTTCGTTAGTTATACTTTTAATGTAAGTTAAACTTAATCAATAGCTCTGTTAATCAATTAATCTGTTGACATTAAGATTTTAATAAATTCTCTTCGATTTTTTTTATTCAGAAATAAACAAAAAATGAAGTTAAAAATTATTCAAAATATTTTGTAAGTATGATACAGAAAAAATTGGTTTAATTCATAAATGCCAAATTAAAAATTTTATATCAAAACTTTTTTTAAAATCTCATTATACAAGTCGAATTATTAAATATTTCAATATCTATAATGGTAAATGTTTTTAATTATTTTTTTGTTATCTTTATATATTCGACGTTATATAATGATTTAATAAAATCTATTTTTTTCTTTAGATCACGAGAAGTTAAATATCTATAAAACTCTAGAAACGATTTCAACATTCAAGATGTGTGAAAAAAACTTTCGATTTTAAGTTCTGATTTGTGTAACTTGTAACTAAGATTTAAATTCAATACAAATTTTTGTATAGTTGTATTACATATTTACATATTTGATGCGTGTTAAATAAAATTATTTAAAATTATGAATCGAAATAACTTTTTATGAATTATGCAAATTTAATTCACCTTTGTTTTTTTGCTGTAAGATATCATACTTTTGGTTAATGATTTTTCCTTGTNGCTGTAAGATATTATACTTTTGGTTAATGATTTTTCCTTATATCAATTAGTTATGTACGCTATATTAATTTCATAAAAATTTAATTAATCAAACTTTGTCAAGCTGTGTAATCTAAGTAAAAAACGAAAGACATTATTTTATGTATTAAACTTATTTGGATAAATGACGCCTGTTGAGTATATTTGTATATTTTAAAAATGTATAGTACATGCTCAAAAAATTGAAATTATAAAATACTTTTTATGTATGCACATTATGATATTACAATGGAGAAATATTTATTTTATTTTTATAGTTTATTTTACAAAAAGATTATTTGAATATTAATTGATATAGTACAAAAATTGTGACCGTAAATTGTTGCTAATTGGCACTTGATATTTATCACAAAGATAGACACATTATACAAATTCAAATTCATTGTTTATTAGTTATATTATTTAATTTTTTCTAAAACCAAATTGAGTACCCCAAAATTACAAATAAAAAAATGATAACTTTTACTTTTCAAGTAATTTTGTATGTAATTAAGAGTTGCTTTAGTTACGTTGTGTAATTATACGCAGACAAGAACTTACCATTTAACATTTTTTAAACAAGAATTTACTACTTTCCTAAATCGACCGCAGTCGAGATACTCTTCCGTTTGAAAATTAGTTAACTAGTGGTTTGATTGATCACCATGTTCTCTAATGACAATTCCCTTTTGTGGTTCTTTTCTTTAAATTAATAGATCTCGACTAGTGCTTCAAATACATCGTTGTAATACTAAATATGGCTATAGCACCCATTAAATACTCTTAACTAATTTATTCTTTGATCCATTCTCTGATATTTATAGTTTTTTTTTTTGCTAAATGCGAGTAATTACGTTATAAAATATGTATATACTGCGTCCCTCGTGGCGTTAGAAAATATTAAAACTCACATTAAAACGTCTTTAAACAAAAAGTCAATCACTCTCCGGGCTCACCACCAACGAAGATTTTCGACGAATTTCAACAAACAAAATTGTAGATACAATATCTTTTTAAACAGATTAGCGTGAACATTCTCGTTTGTGTACGATTATTTATTCATATTTGTTTGTTAAGATTATAAGCATGTAAGTGGAACTACAAAAAACGTTTAGTTTACCAAGTTAATGGCAAGCATTATTTTTTTTTCAAAGTAAAGAATTAATAAGTAACTTAAAATATCTACATAATTCTAAGACAATCATAATAACATATTTAACTTCGATATTTAATGTTTTGTGTTCTGTTTCTTCTATACAAAAAAATGAGAAAATGAAAAATGTATACGTGTTTTAAACAAAATGATATTCATATTTCTTATTGGCCTAAACTAAATGATTCAAATCATTAAACGTTATTTTATTTCAAGGAGTCTTTCTAAACACGCTAAACTATTTCATAAAAATAACGTGACTGAAAATGCCACTTAAACAATTTATTGATGGTCATAAAAATGAATGATATTAATTGATGTTTTTCTAAAAAAAAAAAAGATTAATAATAACACCGTTGGGTCTTACTACATGACAATAATACTCTCTCCCAGTGAAGTGGCGTCTGTGACAGTAAATTATAAACGAAATGTTGTTTTTTCCCCGACGACTACAATACATGCTGAACGACGTCGTCTCACAGTTTCAGAATAATTAAAAACAAAAATGAGTCACATATATTACCTTAATGGAGAATAAAATAAAACATAAAAAACGTTAATTATAATTCGCAAACGACTGTGTAATACGATAGGAAATGTCTTATTAAATCGCAAAGTGATTTGGATTGGTTCCAGAGAGTAGATACTCAGAATCTTTTTACCGGTAAACCCCCTGCTAGCGAGTGTACATAGCCCTTGCGCCTCACCTTAGGGACCACCGTCGGGTTCAGTCGTAAATTAAAGGGTTCATAATGTTTTACTCATTTTATTCTTCCCGAGACACCTCGACCCGGACCTCCCAAACGTATTATTTTTATTATACAAACATACACACACTGCTGCAACAACAATGCGACGTCGTTTAACATGGAAAAGAAGTTGGTAACTGTGTATCATGTCGTCCAACACAGATGAATTACGATTAAATAAGATGGCTCATGATACTTCATAACCTACCATAGGAATTTGTAGTACTTGGTTGTGTTTTTGAATCGACCTAATAGTCAACTAAATATAAGTGAAACTATTATGCTGTAGTTTTTTTCGCAAAATTTATCATCGACTCAGATACCTAAAAGTAATCACCTTTTTTTATTACACAGAAAATTAAATATTGTTTATTCAATAAAAATGTATGTTCTTAGAATATTAAATTAAAATTGGGTTAAATGTCTGTAGAACGGATCTTTTTTTTTATATAATAGGTGTCAACAAAGAATAACGTATAAATAAATAAAATAATAAATAAAAATAATTAACAAATCATAGAGTATAATTAAAATAGTTTTAAAAATGTACAAATTAATCTATTTTAATTAGAGCTAATAAAAGATGTTAAAGTTTTTAAATACATAATACTTGATTACATTAATAAAAATTTTAATTATGGACATATTCGAAATTAATGCTTATCATATATTCAAAAAAAATATTTCAAAAGCTTAAAAGTCTGATAATTTTTTTTTCAAGAGAATAGTAATATAATATTCTTTAACTATTTACTCGTTTTAACAATCTTTATAACATCATCACAGTTTTAATGTTATTATCTTGTATGTTGTACATTGTCAAAGTAAGTTAGGGTAATACATAAATTGTGACATTTTAAAAAGATAGAAGTCACTAGATTATAATTATGAACACACACTATGATAATGTTAAACATTTAAAATATGAATCTTAAAGGGTTTAGATTGACTGTAACCTATTGTCAAACCTATATAAGAAACTTAACTGCAAGATTAAATAATTACTCATATTAAGTCCCACGTCGATTTGCGGTAAGTTAATGGAAATAACAGAACTCATAAGAAGTATAATTTAATGCTTAATAGGGTAATTCTCAGCAGGAATATTTCTACCAGGTAGGTCTATCGTTACATATCAGATCGGACGGATAGATAACTAATTCAAGCTACCGGATAAATGTCTTTTTTTAATAATCATTTAGTATGATTGTATCAACATTTATAAAATAACTTTTTAAAATGAAGGCTTTTGCAAATAACTTTAGTAACTTAAGAAGTTTCTGAAGATGATAATTATTTTTACTACCTATTGAAAATATTTTTTTATAATTCATTTCGTTTTAATGAGTGCACCTCATTATCACCATTTAATTAGGCAACAAAAGCACTTTTTTTAAATACATAATTAATAAAACATAAAATCTAGTTGGAATTTTTGTTTGGGTGGTCCAATCTTTTTATTCATAAACATATTTTTAAATCATTTTATATTTCTAAAAGCATCTCTAATATTCTTTCTATAGCTTTTATAAACTGATTGGTTGCATCACGTGTTAATTTTATATAAATATTATTATATTTTATGTGAGACCATCAACAATAATTGTGTAGGTGATAACGATTTATAATAGTTATTAAATTGGCTGTCTATTTAAGTGTGATTATTTTTATATACAAAATAGTTACTATTTTATTTATGCAGCCTAATTAAACATCATCATCGTGAAAATATTTTGTTTTATATCTTAACAGAATCTATCGTCATTTGCTCTATAATATATTACTTGATTATTAAACACGATAAGATAAAAATTTCCGTGAAAAAATGACAAAAATCTTAATCATAACGGATATAATATGTAAAAAAGCAATTAAATTAGTACTTAACTACTTAAAATTAAAAATACAATTAAAATATTAAAAGCGGTTTGTGGATTATACAAACTATGATTTTAGCAACTTATGTGCTTTTGCATATGATTGAGACGTAAAAAAAAATGAATGTATAAATTAATTAAATTTATTTAAACCTAATTCTTCATAGTAAACTTTTATAACATTTTTAGAAAATACAATAAGTTTGTTACAAGCAGATGAAAAATTGTCGGTATTTATTGACTCGGGTATGTCAATATTTAACAATAAATTTCGAAATGGACATTGTTTTTCATGTGTTTTTTTTAATAATCTACTATTAAATGTTATATATTTTAGAAATTCTGAGAAACTTCGTATGGTTTTCTTTACTGTTTTCTGGTTATTGACATCACTTTTGCTATTCAAAATATCCAGGGAATAATTAACAAGTTTTATCTTCTCAAGTAATTTTGTTATTGAACTACAAAAACATTTTAAATTCGAAAAACAATTGTCATGAAAATATTCTCCTATTAGTTTATTTAAAGATACCAATGTTTTATACATTATATCAAACATTTTAGTTGTCTCATGAACTGCATCAAAAATTTGTTGCACTAAATTTAAATACATTAAAAAATAACATTGAAATCTTACTTTATCAGAAAAATTTAATAGGGAAATTACATAGTCGCAATACTTAAACATTATTTCTGTATAAATGCACTTGATCAATCTTAATATATGTTGTTTTTTACAATGAAAATTAAGTTTGTCTGCTGGGTGTCTAAGAATACGGTTTGCGCTTATAACTTGTTCATTAAATACAATATTAATATGTTTCAACGATTTCCATCCACTTTCATTAGTAATTGTATTTATTAGTTGGATTACTTGCTTTTGGCTAGTATTATCATATATATGAACTGGATGTCTGAATCTACAATAAAATATATGCAATGTGATTTATAAAGTACATATCCTCTACTTTTTTCGTTAAATCAAGTTATTATAAGAAAAAATTATTCCACACGGTAGGTTTTATGGGCAACTTTTGAAAATTTAATAGATACCTATTGTTACTTTGTTAGATAATGATGAATGAATTATATAAAATATTTACCGGTTCGTAATCAGTTCGATAACTTTATTTTTTGAGTTAACATAATGGTTAAGTATATGTACGAGGAGAGCACATTGTTGAAGTCTTAATTGATTAGGGAGCATAGATTCTCATATAGCGTATAAACATTATTTCAACATTTTTTTGTTTACCATAAATAAAGGAAGTTCAATCGATGCCTTAAAAGTAACCACAATTAAACGAAACATATATGATTAATAATAATTAATCATATATGTTTCATATATTCATAATATATAATATATAATCATATATTTAGCTAAATATATGATACTAGATATATGAACTAAATATAGTTCGTGCGACAAATAATACAATTCAGTTACTTAAAAATAAATATTGTTATATTTTACCCTCAACCCTACCCCAGAACAAATACAGAAGAATTTTATAGATCTATCGGTAGTACAAGAATAAAAAGAATAAATTTGACAATTAATGACGTTAATTAAAAAGTTTTCTTTATTGCTCTACAGAGTTTTCAAATAAATTTTCTTACCCTTCTTTTTTTGATTCTAAAACTTGTTCAAAACCAAGATTTTTGTATAAATTTGTAAAAATTTCAACGTAATACACGTTAAGCCATTCACTTAAATAATTGCTCAATTCAATGTGTTTATAATGTTGCGCTTTATAGTCTTCTAGATTCTCTTCAAGTAAACATTTTGGTTTATGATTGTTAACAACTAGACTATTTTGCACTTTAATTTTCTGATAGGTCTCGTGACCTTTTCCTTCGATAAAATTGATCACATCTAAAATAACCTCATAAGCATCTTTTTTTGTGTTTGGATCGTTTGGATCAATAAAAATATGAGTATTTTGTTGAATTTTTAGTGTTGCAAAATCTACAAATGTATAAATATCATCTACAATAGGTATTGAGAAAGTTTTTTTTCCACACACTAATAGTTTAAAATCGATGTTGCTAAGATAGTTCATTACATTGTATAACTGTTCAAACATAGTTTTCGAATTTTCCACAACACTTTGAAGTAAAACTGTACAACTTAATAAATCATCTCCCAGATTGAAGTCATAATATTTTTTACATTGGTTAGCTATAGTGCGAATATGATCAATAAATGTTTTGATAACTTCTGCGTACATGTAATTTAACACATTAATTATAGCGTCGAATTTTTTTGATAGCGTTAAATTACTCTCTTTACAAAGAATGTCCTTAGCATTAAATCTTAACCATGTAGAGGAGTCATTCTTAATATCTAAATTCTGTATAAAATCCCATCCAACTTGTTCCTTTATATGATCCATTACTCCTGACAAATATTTCTCATATGTTTTTGGTCTTATTTTGCAACTCACAAAGCATTTTGTAGTTAGAATCCAAAAAGTATAAAAAATAGAATAAAATAACTTTGGTAACATGATTCACAATTTTAATTACACAAATTTTAAAGTCAGTAAAATTTTATTAGAAATAATTAATATTCCATTTAAAATATATATTGTAGTACCTAACATTTTTATATCATTTTTATTTAATATGCTATTTTAAACAAACACAGCGGTTGATTATTTTTAATTTTTTAAATAATATATTCAAACAATTTTTTTTATATACCTTATATTTAAAATTTGTATTAACTTCAAATGTCTAATCCATAACTATAACTTATATTTTCACACCATTACATTTGGTTTAATAAAAGCAATTTATTTTATTTTATAAATAGAGTGTTACTTTTATTTTTTGGCATTTTATATTTTAGCTTCGATGCGAAGCTGAGAAGATATTGGTTTTACGAAGACATTTTTTTTTTTTTTAGCTTCGATGCGAAGTTGAGAAGGTATTAATTTTACTATGATTTGATTTTTTTCCCAACTCAATCTCAACTTTCGCTGGACCGATTTTGATGAATAATATGTCAAAAGATTACACATCGTATCTAGTCAAAAAAATTATCCTCAAAAGTTGAAAAAAATTCCCTTGTTCTCCATAAACGTGGGAAATCCCCCAAAAAATTGCAAATTTAAAAATCGCTAATTTTCGATATTTTTTCAATTTTTTTTACTTACAATTGCCATAACTGTTTTAAAAATGATCAAATCAATATAATTTTTTTTTTATAGATACCTTAAATATTTACTTATCATTTTATATATTTTTGTGAACATTTGACCCTTTAACAGCCCACAAGAAAGGTTTCAAAATGGTAACATTTTTACAAAAAATTAACTTTTTCAACTTATTTTTTGAAAATGTTCCGGAATGACTGACACTTTTATATATATCTTAAATTAAAGCTTATGTAATATACTTTAATTTGAAAAAAAAATTTGACCCTTGGACTTGTCTTCATGGTGAAAATTACTACTGTATGCAGAAATATGGTATTTTTTCAATGAGTTTTTCAAAATAATTTTGAATGAATATTAAAGAAATAATAATTAGCATTATTTATATTTTAGCTTCGATGCGGAGCTGAGAAGATATTAATTTTACCATAGTTTTTCACTTTTTTTTGTGTCTGTGAACGCTCAATCTCAACTTTCGCTGGACCGATTTTGATGAACAATATGTCAAATGATCACATATCATATCTAGTCGAAAAAATTACCCTCAAAAGTTGAAAAAAATTCCCTCGTTCCCCGTAAACGGGGGAAATCCCCCAAAAAATTACAAATTTAAAAATCGCTAATTTTCGATATTTTTTCAATTTTTTTTA